CTGGAAGGTACATAAAAGTGTGTTTTTCAATGTGTATTCAGAGTAGAATGTGTAGTAGTATGTATGATTTGCTCTTTTATGGTATTTCTGGTGGGTTATAGGCTTACATTTCGTAATTGTAGCATATTGGCTTTTCTTATAAAGTTTTTTGTGTAATTTTAGAATGTACTAACCAGAATCTCAATATAATTTAAGTGTTATATTAAGTATTGTGAAGTTAGGGAAAAGAGTTAAAGGTGTTACTCCAATTAGTGTACAGGAGAAGTATATTTAAAGAAAAAAGATGAATGGATAACTGTAAAAGAACAGACAAAAAATGTCAAGTACTATGAATTGTATTGAGATAAGATAAACAAAATATAATTAAGAAAGATAAAAGAGGGAAGAAGTGACTTCCGGCTTGTGGTTCTTCAGTGCAGGCAGGATTCCGTGGCTCTGCACGGTTTCTGCCTGTGTTCACTGCCTGAGTGCCTCGAGCCATTTGGCTTCGGGGCTAAGCCACCTTTGTAGAAGGTGGTGAAGACTGGGGGGTTCTGGCAGGGACGAGAGACATTGCATCTCTCTTCCCTAGCCGGCTAAATCTCCCTCTCCGACGGCAACTGAACGGCGATCTTTTATGGCCGCCATTTAGAAGAGCCCAGCCAGGGAAAGAAATGTGCTGGAGGGGTTTGTGAAGAAATGAAACTGATTTTGCTGACCGGGACAAAGGAACAGTGAAAGTATCCTGGTATTTAACACCTACTAAAGACACATTGTTCCCAGACTGAGTAAGCAGCGAATGGATATCAAAGGGAAAACTTTTTTTTCTTTTCACTCTCCTTCCAAACGGAACAGCTTTGAGAGAAATCGGAAACCTGCATTGAAGGTATGCTAAATGCTAAAGACTGTGCTAATGCCAAAGGCATATGGATTTCTAAATATTTAAAGAAAATTTTTTCTTCTGCTGTGAGTGGGAAGGGAGAGGAAAAAAAATTGAAATTGAAAATAAGGAGCAGACTGCCTAGAATTTTAAAGAGCCATTTGAACATTAATAAGACTTCAAAAGACATATTATAATTGGAATTTTGTGATTTAATAGCAACCCCAGAAAAAGAAATGGAAGAAGGGAAAAAGTGCTAAATGAAATAGTTTATCTGGATTGTTTGGTGACTTTGCATCTTTTGGGAAACTTTTTTTTCTTTGTTTAAAAACACTCGGGTGGTTGTTTTGGGAAAAATTTTTCCTCTTCATAATGGCACCACTTTTGGATGAATTTAAAACTGAATATCTAAAATATAAAAAGGAAGAACAAGACTGGAAAGATACCTTGGACATTCTTTTTCAATCTCTAGAAATGGCGGTGCATTCCTATGGAGAATTGATTGCGCAGCAGGATAATTGGGACAAAGAAGGAACCATTTTTGATGAACATGTGACCCGATTGGGGGAGAAGAAGGAGGAAGAGGAAAAGGAAAAAGGGATTTTAAAACTTAAAAAAACAACCAAAAAAGATAAAAATGAGTTGAAGGGTGGATATAAGATTAGGAAACAACAGGAAGGGGGAAAGCACAAGAAGAAAAGGGAGGTGGAAAGACAAAGGGGTGAACAGGGTAAGGAAAAAAAGAAGCAAGGGAGAAAGGAAGGGGTGAGAAGTCTCAATGATGGGAAGCAAGATTTGAAGAAACAAAATTTATTTATAGACAATGGGTAAATTTAATTGAAAAAGGGATTCTGTAAGGTACATAAGATTGTGTTATTATAGGCATTTATAGAATAAAATGTTTAAGATATAAATATATAAATATTAATAGGTACGATTAAAATTTTTCTTTTTCTCTTTATATAATATATTGTGTGACTTTAGGATGTGCTAAACAGAATCCCAATACAAGTTATGTGTGATATTAAGTATTATCAGGTTAGGGGAAAGAGTTAAAGGCGTCATACTCTAATTAGTGTACAGGAGAGGTTTTGTTTAAAGAGAAAAAATGAATGGATAGTTGAGAACAGACAAAGAATGTTAAGTATTATGACTTGAACTGAGATGAGTAGAATAAAATTAAGAGAGTTAAAAAAAGGAAGAAGCTATATAGAAAATGGAAAACGGTAATAAGATATGGAATGATATATAAAAGGAACATGATTTTTGAAGAGGTGTCTGTATGATGAGTTTTAACCCGGGATCAAGCAACTTTCAGAAAAGATGTTTATGTTTTTATGTTTTATGTCTTGTTTGTTTGTTTTTTTATTGGAAGAGAATAATGAAAATGTATAAGACAGATGAATATAAAAAATGTATACAATCTAAAGTTAAAGAGATATAATTTGAATAAATAGAAGGAAAAGAAGTAATAAAGAGAAGTTTGGGATAAGATATGAAGATAAGGTAAATATATATATCAAATTGTGCTTGTTTGGAAATGTGATAACTTGGAATAATTCTGTCTTTAAATAAGTTGTTGTATTGGCTTTTTAAGAAAAAAAAATTCCTATGTCATTATATTTTATGTTTTGTTTGTCTGTGTATTGTTTTGGAAAATCAATAAAATTTGTTCAAAAAAAAAAAGAGGGGAGAAGTTATACAGAAAATTGAAAATGGTAATAAGATATGGATTGACATATAAAGTAAATATTGTTTTTGAATTTGTGTCTGTGCGAAGAGTTTTAACCCGGGATTAAGCAGCTTTCAGAAATGAGGTTTTTTATGTTCTATGTTATGTATGTTTTGTCTATTGTTTTTTTTAAAAGGCAAAAATTTTGATTAGTAAGAAATATAATCTGGACAACAGAATGAAAAGGAGAAATTGGGATAGGATATGAAGATGAGCAGATAATGTAAATGCACATATTACATTTGGCACGTTTTATTGGTTCTTCCAGAAAGATTCTTTATGTTAATATGACTTGACTGTTTGTATGTTTTGTAAAGCTAACAAAATTTGTTTTTTTAAAAAAAAACAAAAACAAAAATAAGTCAGAGGAAAATAGAAGTGTGATGATTGAATAGCAGATAAACTAGAAAAGAAACATTATTGAATAAGAGTAAAGAGAAATAATGTGAAATCTGTTAAAGGAAATTTATGTGTCTACATTGAAATGAGATAAATTAGAAAAATGCAATATAAAATAATGTGTTACTTGCTTTGTAAAGATCTATGATGGAAAGTGGTTTTATGTTTTTAGTGTTTAATGATGTTTTGTCTTGTTTGTTTCTTGTTAAAATCAATAAAATTTGTTTAAAAAAAAAATGGCCACCACAAAGAAGAACTCGACCAGAACCATGTAACTGTAATTGTGACTACGAAATGAATGCACAAAACTGATGAACCAACTGACACACTGCTTGTATATATGTATGGAAGAGAGCTGATGTTTTTATGTTCTGTTTGCTTTGTTTGTTTTTATTGTTTTTTTTTTAAAAGAAGAACTCGACCGGAAAAGAATGTGCAGGAGGAAGATAAGAAGAAAAAGTTTTGGTTGACTGGGTCAAACAGCAAAAGCAACAAATAAGGTACCCTGGAATTGAAACTATTAAAAAAAACCAATAACATTGTTCCCTAAGAAGATTTTTAAGCTGCAAAGGATAGAGAAAAGGGAAAAGATTTGGGCTTTTTTCTCCTTTTCCTATACTGACAGCTAAGAGACTTAAGCAAGAAATTGGAAAAAAATCCACTTTGACATTCATAGGCATTTAATGCTGAAAATAAAAAGTCAAAGGGATAATAAAGATTTCTGGATAATCAAAAGCTTTTGAAAACAGGAAAGGAGAGAAAAAGAATAAAAGGGCAGGATCTGGAAGGGAGGAGACTGCCTGGAATTAAAAAGAACTTACAACAAAATCTCAACAAGACTTCCAAAAGATACATTTTAACTGAAATATCACAACAAAAACCCCAGGAAGAGAAAGTGGAAAAAGAAAAGAAGAAATAACTTGGGACTATTTGGATTACTTGATGATCTCTGGATTTTGGGTTATTGTATTTGAATGACTAAAATCAATCAGTGGTTGTTTAAAAGTGTTTAAAATGGCTCCACTTTTAGAAGAACTGGAAGTGGAACTTAAAAAGTACAAAGATGCACAAGAAGGGAGAGGTTCTTTTGGCTTTGTATTTCAGTTTTTAGAAATGGAGATTTGGAATTATGAGAAACAACAAGAAATGCCTGCAGAACAAGAAGATTGAGACAAAGAAGAAGCCATCTTTAATGAACAAGTAATTCTATGTGGGGAAGAAAAAGGAAAGGGGGGAAAGAGAATGGAAAGTTTCAGATTGGGAAAAACAACCCCCCCCCCCAAAAAAAAGCCCGGCTTGCTCTGAGTCCTCCTTGAGGTGCTGTCAACAGAATTAGCCGATTTTAATAAAGCATTTTGCTGAGTACCAATAGAAGGAGAAGTTTGGTAGCTCAGGGTTGAAAGGGAGGCTCCTTGTGGCTCTCTGAGCTTGGTGGGTTTTCTGCAAACGTTTCACTACCCAACTAGGTAACATCCTCCGTGCTACAACGTCGTCTAGCGCTTGCCTAGCTTGGGCGATGAAGCGTCTGCAAGAAAAGCACCAGGCTCGGAGAGCGCCATGGAGCCTCCTTTCGCTAAGTGCCCGACGACACCCAACTCTTCCGCGAGTACCGGGGACTCCTTGCCCGTCCGCGATGTCCGGCCAAAGGCGTTCCGGGCTCCGGAACGGCGCAGGGAGAGGCGTAGGACGCATCTTCGGGCCCGCGGTCCACCGAACCTCTGTCGCCTGGCGTCTCGCCCTCCCGTCGGCCCCGCTTCCCGGGGAACGTCGAGAGGGGCGCCGGGCCAGCCTTCCTTCGCCGGCAGAGACCCCGGCGCGGCCCCGGGGCCTCTCCACGGCCTCGGGGGGCTGGGGGGGAACGCGAGGCCGAGGAGGGCTGGGCGCGGACTGACTGCCCCCCCCCCCCCCCGTTGGGGCGCCCGCGTCACTCCGCCGCCGCCGCCGCCGCGCAGCCTCCCCCGGCGCCTCCCCGCCTCAGCCGCGCGACCTCCAGCCCCGCGCAGCGCCGAGCCCGAGGGAGCCTGTCAGGGAAGCTCCTCCCCGCAGCGGCCGGGAGAGCCGCACAGCCGGAGCCGGAGACGCTCCCGGGCCTGACCGCGCAGCAAGCAGCCCAGCGCCGCTCCGCCAGCCTCGGCCGCAGCCCGTAAGTGGCTCCGCGCTCGCTCACTCGCGCGCTCGCTGCCCCCCGCCGCCCCGCCGCTCGGGAAGGGCCTCCGGGACTCGGGCTCGCCGCTCGGCCGCCCCGCAGGACGCGCAAGGCGGGCGGGCGGGCGGCGGCGGCGGCGAAGCTTGGAGCCCCTCCCGAGCCCGCCCGCTTCCCTTCTGGAGCCATGCCCGCCGCCCGCGCCCTGCCCCTCCCCGCCGCTCGCGCGCCTGTTGGCCGGCTTCGCAGAGCCTCCGCCGCCCGCCGCCATGAAGGGCTGGGGACAGAAGCTGGAGCTGCTGACAGGTAAGGGCTTCGCGGGCGGCTCGGCTCAGGGCGCGGCGGCGGCGGCTGCCCGGCCGGCTCCACTTGGACCGGGGAGGGCTCCGGTGCGGGTCGACCCTCCGTGCCGCGGTGCGGCGGTGGGAGCTGCGCCCCGTCACCTCTGGCGAAACCCGGCCGGGCCGGCGGCGAGGCAGGCTCGGCTTTTGGCTCGGCTTGCCCGCCCGCCCTCTCCGCTCGGGAGGCTTTGGTGGCGGGGCCGACGCGGCCTTGTGATCCCGGTCGGAGCGCGGCTCTTGCAGCGCAGGAGCCGCTCCAGCCGCCCCCGTTGCCCCGCCGCAGGCCGGCCGTTGCCAAGGGCAGCGAGCGCCGGGGCGGCAACTGCGGATGGTATAAAGGCGCAGCGCCCGGCGCCTCAAGCTGGGCTTGGCGGCCGCCGCAGACGCGGGAAGGCGATCTGGCGGCGGGCAGGGCTGATCCCCGAGGCGACGCCTCCCGTTTCAGAAGCGGGATGGGGGGAGGGCGGGGAGGCGCCGCTGGGGAACTGCTCCTTTGGCGCATCGGAGGCTTGGCTGGGCAGGCGGTCCGGGGGGGAGCCGCTGTGCGGGACGGAGGGCAGGTACAGGCCGTCGGAACAATTGCTGCCTCCGCGTTCCTCGCCGGGAAGTCTTAGCGGCTGCTTAATGCTAGGATGGAAACGACCCAGCGCCGCAGGATCTGCGTGGAGCCGCTGGCAGGCGGTGGTGAACCGCACCTTGGACATGTCTCCTTTATTTGTTTGCTCCTCCGCGTAAACCCTCCGCTTCCTCGCCTTCGGTGACTCTTGGGAGGGAGAAAGGGGTGCAAACGGAGAAGCGGAAACCCGGTTTTCTCAAGCGGTGGGTGGCTGGAACCTCGCTTGGTGCAAAGACAGGAGCTTCGAGGCTGCAGCAGCCGCGTCGCTGGCCTGGAGAGCTTTCCTCTCCTCCAGAGGGATTCCTCTGTACCAGATAGTCTCTCTTTGGGGGGAGCAAAGGAGGAAAGAGAAGCGGGGCGGCAGATCCGCCCTTCAACTGCACAGGGTTAATGCTGATGGACTAGCTTTGGGAGAGAAGAGGAAGCCTGCCTTCCCCAGAACGATGGTCTCCTGTCCCTGGTGTCAGTGGGTGGTCGCCTCCAGTCAGGCTTTGTCTTGAATAAAGGGACAGGACAGGAGCAGGACTGGGCAGGGATGCAGAGGCTGAACTTGGCTGGGGGCAAAGGGGAGGGTCTGAACTGGGAAGCTGTGCAGAGACCAGCAATGGGGGCTCCTGTCCTGAAGGCCACTTGTGGGTCAGATAGTCTTCTGATTCTAGGCACTTTATAACATATGAGAGAAAATGAATAAAGCTGTAGGGCCCACCCCTTAAGCCAGTGAATAATAAACACCATGACTGAAAGCTGGAAAGTAACCCTCAAGGAACCCTTTCCAAGCCATCAGTTGGGGGAGGGATGTCAAGGGTGTGTAGGTATGTGTGAAGACACAACTAATCTCAGGTGCCAACTTTTCCAGAGGCAGGAGGCTCTCATCCAAAAAGTCCCAGCCCTCCAGGGCATCTCTCCCTCAAAGCATTTCTCATGCTATGAAAATGAAAGTTGAAGGAGAATTAAAGAACAGAAAGTTGCAAATCACCTTCCATAGATTGAAGCTGCATTCTCCAAAGCACCTGAAGGCAGGACAAGAAGCAACGGATGGAAACTAATCAAGAAGAGAAGCAACCCAAAACTAAGGAGGACTTTCATGACAATTAGAACAATTAACTAGTGGATCAGCTTGCCTTCAGAAGTTGTGGGTGCTTCATCACTAGAGACTTTTAAGAAGAGGACAGTCATTTGTCTGAAATAGGATGGATTCTTGTTTAAGCAGGAGGTTGAAATAGAAGAACCTTCCAACTTTGTTATTCTGTTGCAGGAAGCCTCATTTCTCAGTCCCTTTGTGGATGAAATTTCATCCCAAGATTACTCATTTTACAGAATGGCAGAGGAGCAGTTGCAAAGCAACACAGTTTGATGGGTTAGCCGTCACCAGTATGAAGTAACGTGTGGTTAAATGAAAAATGATGCAGATTAAATGAAAGAGATGCCAGCCGCATCCTGTGGCTTTTGGAGACCTGCCTCCCTCTGAAGCTGAGAAATGGCAACTCTCTTGGCCTGCCCAGCAATGCGCTCCAGGAACCGGATCTGGCCTTTGGCTTCAGCCCTCTCCTGCCCAGGGGAGGTGTGGGCTGTGCTCTGCCTTTTGTCTCAGCCTCAGGCTTTAAGCACTTTCTGACAGAGAGAGCTCTCTCCAGTCAAGGTTTTGCTTATTGTTTCACTCTCTCAAAACAAACTGAGAGCAGCAGTTTGGAAATTTCTCACTATTCCCCTAAAATTAATTTTGCTGATTACTGAGAATAATGTAATCACACGGTCTTTTTGAGCTCATGTTAACTTCTTGATCAGGTGTATTCAGTGGCAGGTTTGCAGCCCATGAATTTTGAATAAAGCCTGACTGGCCCAGTCAGAGTCGTTTGTTGTTGCCAGTGGTTGCCCTTTCAGCAACTGGAGACAGGAGATGGGAGCTATTTTGGGAGATGCTCCTTTGTTCCTCAGATGTGGCTGGGATCATGTTATGGGGAAGCTTTGCTACATGACCCCTGTTTCAATGCCCACCACATCGCTGTACATCACTAGTATATCACCAGGGTACTCCGGTCATCTGGGAGGGTCTGCCTGACCCCAGTTTTGCTTCTGCTTATCATGTCACATTCCCTGGATCTCCGCAAAGTTCTCTGTGGCCCACACGGCCTTCCTCCCTTGAAGGATAGGAAATGACTTTGGTCAGCATGACGGCTTGTCCACATTTTGAGACAGAAGCCAATGTGTATGGCAGATTCTTGCGGGCCTCTGAGGTGCAGGCTTTATGTTCCGAGGCTCCTGTACTCCTAGTGAAATGCTATCCCCACTCCAGGGTGTTCTGACCCAAATCTTGTTCCGAGGAAACAAACCTGAAACAGAGGTAACAGCAAAACCTTTTAATGATTCTTTACGAATTCTGTTCCTTGATGGTTAAAAGGCTGTTTCAAACCAATTGTCTCTGATAAGTACGAGCCTTGCCAAGGTTGTGCAAGGCTGCCAAGAACACTAGATAAAGTTACTAAGAAATATTTCAAACCCAAAGAGTCTCCAAACACCAACCAAGATACTCCGAACATCCACAAGGCTTGAATACAAAAACTTTTTTGCTTCCTGCAAAGAACTCCGGTCTCTCAGCTGGCTTTCATCTCTTAAGGGAGGGGCCATTACCTTCCAGCCTTACTCCCGAGTTGCCTGTGCTGCTGTAGCTGCTCTTTCGTTTGAGCAGCCCTGCACACATGTGCACTGGGCACGGGCTCCTTGGGGACCTCTTCATCAGTGCTGCCAGCCTCCACAATCTCCGAAGGCAGCGGTCCACTCCCTGATGGTCCTGGCCCCATCCCTCCATCACACGCCGGCCCCTCATCTGAGTTCTCGCTCTCCAAGACCTCAGCCATCCGCATCTGCTGCCAGTGAACCACAACACAGGGTGCTGTGGACCTGCTGAGTGTGGTCGTGACCGGAGTGGACTAGTGCTGGCTGAAAGGCTCAGGACAGCAGGATGTGGGAGGCGTGACCCATAGGGGTTCTGGAGAACCCCAACTCTACTTCCTTTTGCGCTGTTTTCATTTGAATGACTCAGGACTGTGGGTTGGAGAAATTCCCCAACCACTATGGGGCTCAGATGGATATAAAGCAAGCAAAGCCAAATAAATAAATAAAATATATTTTAACAATAGTAATGTCCTGATTGGTTCTGCATTTGGGATATGGGGGAGAAAGGTCCATGTGAAGGTTTGCTCTTTTATCTGGGCCTTCATGGCATAAGGGATGCTGGGGGGATGGGTATTCAAGTTGCAAAATGCAAAATCATCAAGAACAGGAAAAATGGAGACATGTATTTTTATTTTTCCAATAATAAAGCAACCTTATGGCTGCTTTTCAGAAAAGCTAAAAATATACGGCAGTCAAGCTGATCTAAATGCCTATAGCTTGCAATGCAGAACATAATGAACACCCCCTCACTTGGCTGATAAAACTGTAGTTTACATCACAGACAAAAGACTTTTTATTAACTAACCAGAAATTGGCTGTAAAGCTTCTCTGCTAGTTTTTGTTGCTTAAGGAAGCAGCTCTCCAACCATAAGACCCCTGTGTTAGAAGGGACAGCAACCTTATTTGTCCAAGCTGCCTAGAGAGCTATTCAGTTTGCAGTGACAAGGTGCTGCAATAAATCTTGGCTCTCCAGAAACTCACTTGTGCATTTAGTAACTAACCACAATAGATAAGTTACTTCACTTTACAGACAAGATGTTAGCTAGACAGCCCAGGGCTGAAGCCCTTTTTTGTTTGCCCTTCCTTTTCAATGGGCTTTGGCTTCTCTTTTTCTGGCCTTGGGAGTTAGCACATTTTGACATAGACGTAGAGTTCTCTTGCCTGAGTGCTGCTGGTTCTCAGCTGACTAGCCTTAACGGTTGTGCAACCTCTTGCCAAAGTCAGAGATGACCTGAAGTATTATCAGTTTGTTCCCTGAGTTGTGATTCCCTCAGGAGAGCTTTGACTGGGATGCCAATTTCTGCCCTTTCTGGACCAGGAGGCCTCGTAATTCAACCCCTGGCATTTGCCCTGGGAATGCTTTTGGCATCTGACTGGTTCAAAAAGCAGCCGCCCTTGCGATCCAGGCCACATGAACCAGCCATCTAACACTGTTCCTGGTTGCTGCTTGGCTGCCAGATACAATTCAAGGTAGACACCATTGTCTCATGGATCACCTCAGAGGCTGCCTGCTGAAGGTCTGGATGATGGGCGTTCTGCCACAACTCCCCTGCAGAAGGACCCTCACCCCTGGCTCTTCCACTGAGCTTTTAGGGATGAGGTTGATGTGGTGGAGGAGAGGATAGAGATGGCTGGAGAGCACCAATTTGGTGTCTTGTTAAAAGCATGCTAGAAACAGAAGGCTGCCTTAGATACAAAGCCAGCTGGGTACCAGTCATTCTCAGCCCCAAGAAGGAGGCAATGGCCCTGGCAAATCACTTCAAAAGCCTCACCAGAAAATATGCAGGCACTTGTCCAAGTGTTCACCAGGAGTCAACACTGACTCAACACTACACACCCAAAGGATGGTCAGAAGGTGTCAGACCAGAGGTGGTCTTCAGCAGGTTCTGACCAGTTCTGGAGAACCAGTAGCAGAAATTTTGAGCAGTTTGGAAAACCGGCAAATACCATCTCTGACTGAAGATGTTACAGTCTCCTTCCCTTGCCACGCCCACTAAGCCACACCCACAAAACCGGTAGTAAAAAAAAATGGAATCCTACCACTGTGTCAGATTGACTGTGAATTGGACGTGGCTTATAGTTGGGGGTTCTCTTTCTTTTTAAACTTTCCTGTAGTGATGAATTGGAGTATAGTTAGCCTCTTAGAGTCTCTGGATTTGTTTTTCATATGACTGAAATGTTTATACAGTTCAAATCCTATCCTCTTCACTGACACCAAATTTGCTTCAACTATGAATGTGCAAGCCCGTTGGCAGTGCAGCAGAGACCACCATCTTGTCTAGTTACTTTGTGTTGCCCCCCAAAGCTCTTTTGGTGGCCTCTCTGTGAGTGCAATCCATTACTGGAGAGAGCAAACATGCCCAGGGGTTTTGGGTGCCTCGTAGAAACAGCCTTCAATTAAAAGAGAATTAAATGTTATGATCCAAACTTCATGTTTCTGTTGAGGCAACCCTTTCCCTCTTGCCCTGTACTCCTCATGGATATTCAGGCCTGCAATCTGCAATGTGTGTCTATCCATCTCATGTATGAATTTCTGCTTTTTTTTCTATAAGCAGAAATTCATTTTTATTCATTTTTCTTTGGTTCTTCCTGCCTCATTAGACTTGTTGAAAAGGGGATTAACATCCCTACCACATATAATGAATTATGTTAGAGTTTGCAGCAGTCCAACCAACGCACAAGTAAATAATTCATCAGGATTCATTTATAGAAGACACTTGTTTATATACAATAATATAAAACTTGATGCATGTATACAATACCCATGCAGCTCTTGCAATGTGGTAGCAAGTAGAAGAACAAGAAACAGAAGCAACCAGAACCACCAGAACTACAGAAGCTCTATATTTATACAGACCGGCCACCCCCAGCCTTGCCCAGGCTCCGAGCCATCTGACATGGCTCACAACAGGTGCTGTTTCCTAGCCACCAAGCAGTTCCCATTGGCTAATTCATTGTTATGTCTATCCCTGCTCATAATTTCTTATATACTGATTTATAAAGTCATTTATAGCAATGTCACATAAGATCCCCTTTTCATTTCCCCCCAGCTTGGCATAAGGATCGATGAGGGCTTTCAGCAGAGTCCCTCCAACAAGAAGCTCCATGCGGCCCTTTTTGGCTTGCTGATTTCAGGCAGCCTTGTCCGAAGCTGTGCTGAAGTCCATGAGTGCCACACTATTCCTGTACTCTCTTAAGCTCACAGGTGGAGAGCAGCACTGAGAAGGACATGGCAAAGCCGATGTTGGAGAAACTCCATGCTGGCTGAGAAATTCTGGTCGTTGAAGTCCACAAGTCTTAAAGTTGCTAAGGCTGGAGACCCTTGCAAGCATTTCCCAAAGCATTCCCAACCTCACAAATCAATCATTTTTGATTCCTCTGGCAATCCGTTCCAATATATCAAGAAACAATCTTGGTTTATTCTAATCATCGTGATTTATCCATGATTGGAGATTTATAGTTGCTAAGACCACCCAGACTCATAATGGCCTTGTTTCTCTGAGTCCCAGGTGGGAGAGGCAATTCTGGCAGCCCACCAGGCCCAAGCAGCCCTCAACTGCTGGCAGCCAATCCCAATTTCCACAGGTCCAAAGCAGCGAAGGGGCTGTGCGGTCTTCCAAGCCCTCTTGTGTGTTTCCCAGTGATTTCCCCCCAGGGAGATGGCAGACGCCTGCAGGCAGAGCCTCTGTTCTCTTTCGCTGTTTGTCGTTTGGCCAGGGACTCGCATCTTTTTGTGGGGGCCGAGTGCAGAAAGGTCGGGGGAGAGGAGCCAACATCAGGGGGCTTTTCAGGGCTTTCTGCCCCATCCCCATGGCCCATGCAACCCCAGTTAAGCCAAAGTGCATATGGGCCGCCATTGGGAGAAGGACTTCAAAAGAGCAAACTGCAGCCCTCCCTGCTCACATCTAGCCAGATTTGTAGGGGGCTTTAAATCTCCCCCCACCCCCCCCAGGTTGCTTATATTACCAGACACATAGTGCTTTGCATTCTTGACCTGGAGGGCCTGCCATCGTAGCAGGACAGATTTTTCCCTGGCTTTCCAGGGTTGGGGAAAACCACTGACTAATGTAGATTTGTTTCATTGCCCAGGACTGTTGCTCCAGGAAGTGACCATGGCTAGCCTACATGAGCAGAGATTTACAGAGGAGAAGCCTCTGCTCCGTGGACAGGATGCTGAGATGGTGAGTCCTTTGCTTCTCTCCTGGAGTTCCAATTGTGCTGAGCTGGAGGCAGGTCCCTTGGCTTGATTAGAATCTGCCTGGAGCCGGTGATGAGAGCATGGAACGACAAGCCAGGATGCAGGCCTGGCTGCATCCCAAAGGACCTTTGCCATCGCTTTGGATCCTGGCAAGAGCCCCTTGTCTGTTCCAGCAGCATCCAGACCACATCTCCCTCCCTGGGAGGTGTGCAAATCATGACACCTATGGAAGAAGGGGACAATTGCAATGCTGCTTCCAACATTTTGACCCTCCTCCCCATCCCCCCACCCCCCATGCAGTTAGTTTCCTGGCAGGAGGGTGGTGGGAGCGAAGAAAGAGGGAAACAGGCCCTGAGGACAAGAGAAAGAAAATAAGGAATGGAAAGAAACATCCCAAGAAGGGACAGAAAGAGCAGCTGACCTCACAGGCCACAGGCTAGCCTGGGCTCCCAAATCCTGCTTGGCCCTCAAAGCCCCAGGAAAGACCCTTTTCCCCTGGGATTGCTCCCTCAACTTTCCAGTCCAGCATATAATCCTGGCCTTCCCAGGTCGTCAGAAATCCACATACTAACATGGTTGAATTCTGCTTCTCTTTTCCTCAGGATCAGCCAAAATTCTATTTGACACTTATGTTTGTAATTTGGGTGGGCCCCATGATGGCAGGTTAGCAGATGAGGCTCTTTGCAGGACACCTGCTTTCCCACCCATAGGTGGGATCTATAAGAATCCGAAGTGCTGCAAGAGCAGGGTTTGATTTTATCTCTTTCCTTCCAGGAGAATTCAGACACTTTCCTGCCTGCAGTGGACACTGACTGGAAGGTAAGGTTGCAGGGGCCCATTTTGTCTGTCTTACCCAGGAAAGGGGAAGTTGCTGCTTTGGCAGGACCAACATTTCAGAAGTGGCAGAAATCCAACAAAAAAGAATCACTGGGGGTGGGGTGGGCGTGTCCCATTCTGGGTGAGATCATTTTTGTATCCGAGAAGGTCAGAGTGCTGCCTAACTCCTGGCAGGTGCATCTCAGGCCACAAACTATTGGCTAGAAATGTACTTTTCATTCAGTGACTGAGGGCCTAAATACCATAGAAATTGCAGCTTGCATAGAGTGGTGTGAGAAAACCTGGAGTAAGACTGAGCCACTGGCTAAATGTGCCCAAGCTGTCTTTACCGTCAACAGGGATGGCTGCATATAGCACGGCTAGTAGCTGGTTGATATTTTGTTTGATATTTAAAATGCATAATGCCAAAACCTAACTGACCAAATCTACAATGGCATTGGAGATCTATGGGCCCAGCTGGTGCTGCCAGTGGCCTTTGCAAAGCTGCAGTAGGTAAAAGGCAAATGGCATGAATGGTATGAAGAGAAAGGGCAAAGCAGCCGCTGCTATTTTTTCTGTGAAATAGAAGGCTTATTCATGCATCACCCTTGCGTGCTTCCTCCCCATCCTTGAGATGGGAAGAAATGGGGTCAATGCAGAAGCCTCACCGGCTGCCTTTGCAAGGCAAGGGGTGTACGAAACCCTTACAGAAATGGTGTGGGTGGCTCAGGCCATGGCTGGTTTTCCTATTGCTCAGAGGAAAGTAGGAACTGGTGAAACCCAAGAAGGAGCTGAAAGAAGAATTTAACAGGTTTTCAGATTAATGGAAGGGACCTTGTAGGACATCTAGCCCAACCCTCCCAAGCAGGAGACCCTACCCCATTTCTGACAGGTGGGAGTCCAGTGTCTTCTTGAAAGCCTCCGGTGAAGCTCCACACAATTTCTGAAGGCAACTTCTGTTCCACTGGTTGACTGTTCTCAGTGTCAGAAAATTTATCCTTATTTCAAGGTTAAATCTTTCCTCATTCAATTTCCATCCATTGTCCTTGCCCAGCCTTTGGGTGCTTTGGAGAATAGCTTGACCCCCTCCTCTCTGTGGCAGCCCCTCAAATATTGGAGCACTGCTATCATGTCTCCCCTGGTCCTTCTCTTCCCTAGACTAGCCATGCCTAGTTCCTGCAACTGTTCTTCGTATGTTTTAGCCTCCAGTCCCCTCATCATCCTGGTTGCTCTTGCCTGCATTTTTTCTAGAGTCTTAACGTCTTTTTTGTAGCCTGGTGACCAAAACTGGATGCAGTACCCTAAGTGTGGCCTTAATAAGGCTTTATAGGGTGGTATTGGTACCTCCCTTGATGTTGATTGAATCCCTCTGTTAATACAGCTTAACATTTTCAAGGCAGGATTGAAGACAACCATAAATAAAGAGATGTACAGGAACAGGAAAGTGGAGGTGGAATAAAAAGAAGTGGGGCTTCCTTCCCCTCCTTCCTTTCCTGCTTTTATGTTCTGCTTTTATCAAGCAGCCATGTTGTTTTCTTTGGCAAAGGGGATAGCAGCAGAAGGATGAAGTAGCCCATCTTGGTGAAATGAGGACAGTGGTGATTTCTTGGGAGTGGGAAAGTCAGTGAAGAAAGGGATCTGACAACATTGGTAGAGGTTGCAGGAGTCCAGCCAGTCTTGTTTGGAACAGTCTTAGCCTGCTCAAGTATATCAACATTGATGGATGTTACCAAGAGTCACGTGTGGCTCAGGAGCCTTGCGTGTCAGTTGCAAGTTTTCCTTGCATAGTTTTCCTTTAGATGTGTACAAGTGACTATGAAGATATGAGAGTCCATTCTATACGTTAAACAGAAAGAGCCCAGAGTGATCCAGACTTGGGCCCAGTGCTCTTCATCATCATCTTCATAAATGATCTAGATGAGGGGATCGAAGGGAAACTCATCAAATTTACAGGTGACATCAAAATGGGGGATAATTGAGACCACTTCAGAAGAGAGACTCAAAATTCCGAAGGAACATCATAGACTTGCACATTGAGCCATATCCAGCAAGGTACAGTTCAGGAGTTGCACGTAGGTAGGAAAAACCAAATACACAGATATAAAATGCACAGACTAAGCAGAAAGTTGGGACATACACTGTAGAAAAAGGAGCAGAGAAAGTGACTGCATAACATCTGAGAAAAGTAAAAATGAGTGTAGTCAAGCAGGTATCTGGAATTTTTTTAAGGTGGTGGGGAAGTTCTTAGCCTTGGGAAATGTCCATTTAGTTGCACTGAGGAAAGGGAGAGGGTTGATCAGAAGACAGGAGAAAGTCTTGAAGAAAGTGAGAAAGGAGAGTGGAAATTGGAAGAAATAGGAAAGTGAGAGAACAGAGACATCTCATGGTGAAGATTGCAAGATCCAATCTGGGTTGGTCACTGGGACCAGAATTTTAGTCTTCTGAGCTTTTGGACTGGAGCCCATCTTTAGGGAACTTTTTTCTAGCAGACACACTTCCCTGTGGATGGGCTCCAGCATAAGTCCAAAAGTTTGGAAGACTAAATCTCTAGTCCTGGTAACTGACCCAGATTTAGATCCTGCAACTCCTGGCTGATGAAGGGGATGTCAATGGAGATTATGGAAGATGGAAAAGGAACAGAAGATGGATTGAGGGAAAGGCTTACATGGCACAGCCCAGAAAACTGACTGGGGACCTCATGTTTTCCCTGCTTCGAAGCTGTAGGGAAGTCCCTGTAATTTTGGAAGTGAGAGAAGCTGCTGAGTGAAGAGATTTGCCTGAGGGAGGGATGGTGGGGTTCCACCTCCAATTTTGAAGGGCAGGATGAAGGAAAGGATGGAAGCCCGGGACTGACAGGAATGAGGACTTTGCTTTTAATTGCTTTTGACAATTAGGCAACCTTGTTTTTATATATATATATATATATATATATATATATTTCTTAAGTTTTCGTGGGTACTTACATATATGGCATTCGGCTTTGTTCGGGTATTTTCCCACGTCATAGTAGTTGTGCCTTTAAAGTTGTGTCTGTCTGTCTGTCTGTCTGTCTGTCTGTCTAGGTGTGTTCGGATCTTTTCCCATGTAAGATTAAGAGTATCTTGGCGACGTTTCGGCGAGGTCCCACTCGCCATCCTCAGGCTGGTGCTTTCGGCTTCGTGCCAGTGCGAGCAGTGTGATCGGAGCTGCCGTCTCTCTATAAATACTGCTGCCTCTTGATTGGTTGATGGAGTTGATGTTGGTATAATGGGCTGTGTGGTGGCCTTGTGAGTTTTGTTGTGGAGATATCCTGGATCTTGTGCTGTAATTTCCTGGGTCATTTGTTTTGTAGTGATCTTTTTTCCCTTTGCCTCTCATGTTTTAACGGCTTGGGTAATGGGTTGTGTGATGGGCTTGCAAGTTCTTCTGTTGTGGTATTCTGGGTCCTGCGTTGTAATCTCCTGGGTCGTTTATGTTTTGATCTCTTTTCCATGAGCCTCCTGTGTAGTAACGGCTTGGGTAATGAGTTGTGTGATGACCTTGTGAGATGTATTGCTGTGGTATCCTTGGTCTTGTGCTGTGATATCCTGGGTCATTTGCGGTGTTGCAACTTCTTGAGTTCTTGTGGTGTAATTTCCTGAGTTTTCTGATGTGATATCCTGAATGGGTGGCTGTGATGTAGCATTCTGGGTTTTAGCAAGAGAATAATCAGGGAAGCCATCGAGATAGAGAAACACCCCCATAACATGAATAGACAGGACGATACCTCCCGCCTACCAGACATCTGGAAGCTGGCCCTCACCAACAAACAAGTCCCAACCACGAAAACCAACACCAGACCCAAAACAATACAGGACACTACCGCCAATCCCCCGCATCAGACCCAGGCCCAAGCCCATCCTATAAATGAAGGACAACCACCATCCAGAAAACAGACCATGGCTTCTGCACCAGCTGTCGCACCCCCCAACCCCAAAACCAAACAAGCTGACACACGCCAAGAACACAGACCCAGACCCCAAACTCGAAGCCAGACTAAAACCCAGAATGCTACATCACAGCCACCCGCTCAGGATATCACATCAGAAAACTCAGGCTAATCTTACATGGGAAAAGACCCGAACACACCTAGACCTACATACCTGTACCTGTGAAAATCTACGAAAACAAATATATATACATTCTAGCAGTAGGCTAGCCCCAAATTTAAAACTGAAACAGCTGTGAAAGTCTGACTCACAGACGAACACAATACAGAAGCCTGATGATAGCAGATGAGATTCTGCCGAAACGTTGCTACAACTTTAAAAGCACAACTATAACGACATGGGAAAATACCCAAACAAAGCTGAATATCATACATGTAAGTACCCACGAAAACTTAAAGGTCCCACTCACCATCTTCAGGCTGGTGCTTTCGGCTTCGTGTTTGTGTGAGCAAAGCGTGATCGGAGCTGCCATCTCCCTATATATACTGGTGGGGAGGTTGGCTGTGTTGTCATTTCTTGATTGGTTGATGGAGTTGATGTTTGCAGATTGGCTGGCTTTTTCTTAAGAACATGTGTGGCTGAGGTATTGGCTGTGTGTCTGTCAGCCTCCTGTGTTGTAACGACCTGGGTAATTTGCTGTGTGATGACTTTCTGACTTTTTGACATCCTGGGTCTTTGTGCTGTAATCTCCTGGGTTGTTGGCTGTGTTGTAACATCCTGAGGTTTTGTGGTGTAACCTCCTGAGTTCTGTGATGTGATATCCTGAGCGGGTGGTTGTGATGTGATGTTCCAGGTTTTGGTTTGGCTCTGAGTTTGAGGCTTGGCTATGTGTTCATGGTGTGTATCAGTTTGCTTGATTTGGGGGTTGGGATGTGTGGCAGCTGGTGATGCAGCCGGGGTCTGGTTCCTGGACGGTGGTTGCCTTTCGTCTATGGGGTGGGTTTGGGATTGAGTCTGGTGAGGGAGATTGGTGGTGGCATCATGTGTTGTTTTGGGTCCGGTGTTGGTTTTCGTGGCTGGGACTCATTTGTTGAT